ACAGGCCATTTAATAAGAATATTGCTGAAGCTGTGACCATGGTGGTCCCTCCTGCTGATCTGACATGATCTGACCTAGGTTACGTCAACAAGTACAGATTAACTACTGCAGTGATAGCCTCTCAGTGTATCGCCTGCCTAATTAACAGTTAACTATAAAATGACAAAATGTCTGATTAGTTACACGTCCAACCAAATAAGTTTGTTAAAAGGCAAAAAAAAATAATATTAATTAGGAAAAAATAAATAAATAAATCCAAGGCCACAGGCTCTGCAATTTTACCTGCCAAAATATGAAATGTTGTAGTCAGGCGTACCAGATAATAGGCAATACCTTCACTTACTGCCTCTCATTGTGTATATACTACACATGCAATTCTGTATGGTTTTTTTCAATCGTAGAAGGGCTAGCAGAACTGCTACAGGACCCTCTGGTGATTTACAACATGACAGTTTACTATGCAAATGGTGGGCTATTTGCTTTGGCCATGATAAAGAATCACAGCTATCCAAAACACACCCATTCACACAATACACACAGAAATAGAACAGCAGAGTCTGATAGCATATTCAAAGACGATACCTGCTTGAAATGATAAAAATGTCTCAAATCAAGTCTGTGGACCACATCACAGCACCGGAAACAAAATAAATTAGGAAATACAATATTTTTCACAATTATCAGTTAATATCAGCTGATGCCACGTTATACCCTTCATTCCGACTGCCCATTCATCATGTAAATGTAATTTTCTTGCAGGTATTTAATCAAACGCTATCTGATGAGGGGAAAAGTAATTACTGCCATTTTAAACTTACTGCTGTACTCTCTCTTTCTCCCTCTCTCTGAAACTCACCGTCCCTCCTGCCTCTCCTGTCACTTTTAATCTCGTATGTTGGAGTTTGTGGGAGGTGGTATTTTTTTTTTTCTTCCTTTGGTACCTGTGCAGCACTTTAGAGGCAGGAGAAAACATGCACAGTTATCTGGAAATTCCCACAATAAAATGCTCACGAACAGTATTTAAACACTACCAGTATTAGAACTACACAGCTAAATCTGGCTTCTTGTTTGAATTTTTCTGTTTCACCTTAAATGGTACAGGAGTTACATTGTGGCACACGAGGCACCGGCCAGGAGAGTCAATAAAAGTTCAGTTCAAGTTTTTACACTCGTTTCGTATAAATTGGATGAAACAAAGCATTCAGCTTTACTTTCATGCTTGGTATCAGTTTACTACAATCTTAAAAAAGATGGTTCTTCAAGGGTTCTTTAGTAAAGAAAATTGTTCTATACAGAACCATGAACACTCAAAAACCCCTTCTATAATTAAAGGGTTCTTTGCCTGGTGAAATAGTTCTTCAGAATGATAGAGAATGTGTTGTATACGGCTCTATATAGAACCTTTTTGAAAGAGGTTCTAAATAGCACCAATAGGTTATACTATTGTTATGATTTCAAGCTAGGAAAAAAAAACAAAAAACGAAGGAACCCTTTTTGGTGCTATATAGAACCTTTTTTTTAACTTACGTTTAGCGTCTGTTTACCTAAAACACTAACTGCCTTTTTCTGTGGAAATTTCAAGCCACGAGTGATCTACTGTGGCTGTCTGTGATCACGATATGGCTTTCATTTAATGTAGCAATCTAGGACCTAATAAAGATAAATGGCATCATTTACGAGTTAGACTACATAGGTATTCTCACTCACATCAGAATTACAAAGTGTGTTTTTAAAATAAATAAATAAATAAATAAAACAACATCTACACATATTTCTCTCATTAATTAAGCCTCTTGGACATCGCAGCCTCTTACTACACAGATGAACAATAACAGCCAGAAAACTAATGGTCTCCTGCAGCTCCGGAGAGCAGCAAGCATGGAAGCAGTAATCTACAGCCACACATCACCTCCACCATTGTGTGCACTGTCTGATTATGCATGTGCCACTCAGTAAGCTGTATGTAGAGAGCTCATGTTGAATATTAATACCAGCCACCTATTCACAGCCACAATGGCCCAGTTCACAAACACAGTCATTTCAGAACAGGTTAAGAGGCCACAGCGACAGAAGGAGACAGTCAGTACTGCACACAAGAATAGACATTTAGTGAATTAAAGTGTAAAAATACTAAGGAAAAAGGCAATTATTTAAGAGACAAGGGCAAAGTGAGTTTTACCACCTCACATAATAGCATGATTGTTCACGCATTAAACATGACGACAAAGAGACTTCATTGCAGTGAGCCAGAAACAGGCTTAGTCCGGCTATCATTATTCTGAACTGACCATGAAGTAATACCATTCTGAAAAGCTCTGCTCATTTGTGTAACAAGAAAACCAATAGGCATAATAAAAGGTAGACAAAGTTTTTGCTAGCTAGCACATATGTGTGTACATTTTTAAGGACAAAACTACGCTATATGCCCAAACATATCAAAACACTCTTTCTAATTAGTGAATTCTGCTACTTTAAGATTTTACCCCGGCTTGTATAAATCTCCACAGAGGAGCTTTGCCACTAAAGACGCTCTGCAGAAGCCTCACATGCTCACCATGCTCAATGCCAAGCATCAGCTAGTGGGGTAAAAAGCCCCCTGAGCTCTGGGCTGTGGAGCTTTTCTGAGGAGTACAGACTGTTATTCCTTTTTGTAAAAGGTATTAATACCTTTGATTTTTCATTCACTAAATTTCAGAATTACATCAAGAGTTGTTTTCAGAGTTGAGTTCAGGGATAGGCATTGAATGTTATTACATATCTTCACTGTCATAAGAAACCCTTATATACATATCGCCAGCTGCCCTTTACATTGTGTGAACAAATGAGAGAGAAAACTCCAATTAAGAATATAGTTCTCGCATGTGTGCAAAAACATTACACGTGGTAAAAATTAAACATCTTTTTGCAAGGGAAAAACACTTCTGTTAAACCATAGAACACTTTATCTGTAGCAGATATCACTGGGCAAGCAATACAAGTTGATGATGGGGTACCGGCGACTGTATGTGGCCTGTGCCATTCACAGTTGCGAGGATACAGTTGGAGTAAATGTGATGTGGAAAGAAGGCAAGTATGCTCAACAAACAACAATCTCTCGGATTTGTAAACTAAACTTTTACCTCATCCTGTTGGCAAACAAGCCAGGACATCTCATCTCATCAGTTACTATCCTCAAACAACAATTTCTAACTGTTTTATTAAACCAATTTTGTTCAGCGATCACCGAAGGGCATTTCTGAAACATTCATTCTAAAGAATAACATGATCTTTTTTCCTTGCATTACTGACTGTACTTTGGAAATTAAGCATGCACTAGAGAGATTTGGGCAGTAGGTCTTACAGAAGGTTTGCCTCTAAACACATTGTGTGTGTGCATGAGTGTTTGTGGTTCCTCACCTGCAGCAGTGGGGTGTGGACATGAGAGACAATGTGAGGTAGTCTTCTCCACTCTCTGATGGCCAGACTGCTGGCCATCTCAACCAGCCGTTCAATGAAGTTTAGCTGCTGCTCCTCTGGGTGACAGATGGCCAAGTATCCACGATGCATGTTTACCTTCCATGCCATCTCTTTAGGACAGCTCAGCTCCACCTGACAAACACAAACATAAAAGGTTGAGTTTTTTTTCTGGAACCTAAACAAATTTAGCACATTGAGGTTTTGCAGATCATAAGCAAATTTTTAAAGTTTATAGTAATAACAAAGGTTTAAATATAAGAAGATCTGGGCAACTCAGAAGCATATTTCCAAAACCTTTGTTCCAACTGACGTTTTTTTTTTAGTACTGTATTATCTAAGAGAAATTATTTTACAAATTCATTAAAACCAGCGAAACATAATTTGCTGGCATTCTGCTACGCAATGTGTCGAGGCGTTTGTGAATTACAATCGTCGGCCAGAACACACTTATCATGGCCAACGTTTTGATGAATCTCCCTGCGACAGCGCTGGCCTTATCGGCCGTGCTTTAATTGAAAGCGGGGACATTTAAACTTCCTGAGAGCAAGTGCTACTGCAGCGCTCTGTGCCCTGGCACAGCGAAAACAAATCACTTCCTAGCAGATGTTTGAGCAATTATTCAAGTGCGTATCCGTAAATATTAGATGCAAAGCGAATGGAGGGGGGAGGGGGAAGAGAAGTGGGGCGGTGGTGCCGGACAATTTAATTAGGTGTCACCTTAGGACAGAAACCTCAATGGATTTGTTCCAAGTCTCCTTGAACAGGAGCCAAGAGTATTTATAACGTGTCAAGTGCTATCACGTCCTTTTTTTTTTCCCCTGACTTTGTTTTAAAAGTGAGATCCATAAATTAACCGCCAACAGGGAGGCTATGTTTCTGAAGTGTCGTAAACAGCAGCCTGAAAAGACTTCCTGTTTACCTCTCTCCACCTAACAACACCGTACTCCCAATACTCAATTAGGCCTGTCACTATCAATTATAGTACTCACGGAGTGATCTACCAATTATTGACAATTAAGCAAGACATCAAGCTTTTTAAAAAAGGACAAAGAATAAAAACACTAACTTAACTAAACAATAAAAAATTAAGCATTACCTTTCACAGCTTCCTAAATGCTAAAACAAACTAAGAAGACTTGGATGCATTTATGGATCATATATCCATCTATTTAGTCCACAGCTGTCAAGCCTCACAAATCTATGTTAAAAGTTCTCATCTACATATATTACTCTTAAAGGCACAATAACAAAAATGTCCTGTTAAATTCTACAAGGATAAAGAACGGTTTAAATATGGTTGAGTTAAAAATATGTTACAACTGTTTTAAGCATAAAATAAATAAATAATGAATCTCAGCAGAAAAAAAGAAAATACAAGAAAACTGGAGGACATGGCACTTTAAGAAATTAAGAATATAAAAATAATATGTGGCAATGGATTACCTGCACCAGCGCCTCTTTCATGGCAGCCCAGTTGGACACTCTCCAGGCACACTCCAGCACGAGGTATGGGTTGCTGTGACCTTTGGACTGGCCATACTCGGTGAGAGGTTCCCACTGGTTCAGTTCCTTAGAGCAGCTGGAAGAAAACGGAAGAAAAACAGCCCGCTGGTTAAACTTCTCTACACGCATGGCCCAGGGTAAAGCAGTACTTCACAAGCTAAAATTCCAGGAATCGACTTTTGGATGAGTTACAGGGTTTCAGTGCGGCTTTAAGAGAGAAGTCTGTCATCTTGGGCCAAGTTTTGAGGGAGCGCTCAGCTTTGCAGCAGAAAGAGGCCGGCTGAGGCAGGATGTCGCCTGAAGGACAGCACCGGAGCTGCTGATCTGAGTGCCAAGAGCAGACAGAGATGAGCAGCCTTTAAAATGACAACAGAACCTACCGGATCCAATGGTCCTCCCACAGCTGGTACTCAGGGAAAATGGCAGGTGAGGTGTTGGTCCTCTCGTGCTCTTTTCGGGCTTTCTCCATGGCCTTCTCATAACTCTCTTGCGCCTGGCGAAGAGAAAATGACCGTTGAATGTTTACGGTAACAATGGCTGTCAGTATAATATTGGACATACAAACTTAATACATGTTCACTTAAACTGCTATTTCAAATAGGGCTTTTGCAGCTGGAAAGAAAATAGCATTTTCTTGTCATTTTTAAAGAAGTTTTTGACAGTGTGACAGTTAATGCAAAAGTCTGGGCACCCCTAGCACAGTGTTTGTTTTGTTTTAACACATCCTCTACTGGAAACAAACTTAAATATTGCATTTCTCTGCAGATTTTAGTGCACAGTTTCTATGTACTATGGCATGTGCCATATTTATTATTTTTTTATTATATCATTATACATGTTTATTATTGGAAATTAGGGCTGCAACAAACGACTAATCTGATAGTCGAATAGTCTATTGATTACTGAAACGAATAATGGATTATTCGGATTATGAATCACTACATTACCAAATAACTTTTATGTAGCTATTTGCTTTTAAATTTAGCTTGAGGTTGTTTTATGCATTTGCTAACAACGAAGTCAATAAAGATGAAAAACATTCAAGAATTCACTGTATTAATGAACTTTCCTGCTAATACAAAAGACAAAAAAGTAAAACTCCAATGTATTTTTCCTGTAAAAAAATTTATAACCAAGGATGTGTAAAGTAGAAGCAATGAAATATAACAAAACTAAATCAGTTTTCCTTTAATCAAGTAAATAAAAAAAAAAATCTATGTTAAATGTTACATTTTTAACAGTGCAGTCTGTGCTCTGTCTACATTTTTTGCAACTAAATTTTACAGTCACAGGTCTTTATTGAAACGGAGGAAAGTCAGCATCTCTCCGTGCTCCTGTGAGAGTCTTGCTCTCCTCTGAGAGCGGATATTCCCCACTGCAGAGGAGACGCGCTCTGACGGAGCAGATGGGAAAGTGGCGAATGTTTGTGGAAAACATGACTAAACATGACACGGAGAACTACCTCCCTAAACTGTTAGCGAGGAAACGCTCTCCTGTGTTCGTCGAATCTGAACGTACCGGTGGCCTCGACGCCAAGATGACGATGCAGTGTTTAAAAGTGTAAGCGTTATCTTGAACGTGAACAGGGTCGCTGTGAATAATAGTTACTTGCTTCTCGGTTCCAGCTCCGTTAACGATTCCAGAGAGATTTTGTTCTTGAGGCAGCCGTCGCGCTGTTGTTAACTCTCCAGTGAGCGGTAATGTTAAAACGTTCCTACTGAGCGCGAGAAAGACGTATAAGACATCACCAACTAATCGACTACTAAATTAGTCGACTAAGTCAAAATATAGTTGCACCCCTTTAGACAGTAATTATGCATTACTATACGAAGAAATGTGTTCCGATTCACAAACTGGTCCTCAGGGACATCCCAGATGGTCCAGATGTTTCCTCCAACCAAACTTGCAACACAGTGGTACAGCATTTAACTTGGGATACCCAAACCTTTTGCATAAGACTGTAGAACACTGAAGGACACAAGCAGCTGCTGATGCGCCTCAGGTTAAGCAAAACGGCAGCATAACAGGGCTGCAAGCGTCAGTAATAGCAAAAAAAAACAAAAAAAAAAAAGTTTGTTTTATGGTCAGTATTTTGCTGGAGCGTGATCTTGATTTTAGGCTTGCTGGTTAATGATTAATCACGGACTAATCACTGTCTGTTACTGACAAAAAGAGTTGCTATTGACAAAAAGCTGTTTACTACTGCAACTATTGTTTGAATATGAACTACTCTTTTACCTGTTCGAAGAAGCCATGCTGCTCATAAGCAATGGCTGTGCTGGTCTCAGGGAACTTGCAGCGCTTCTGCCACAAACCAGCCCACATGTCCTCCTCCTGCAGCAGCGAGTACAGCTCTGCAAGCGAGTCCAGGATTTCCTGGAAACATACATGCAATCACACTCAGAGACTTTGAAGTGGACAAATGTTTATACTTGCACCTGAGACCACTGCCTGGCAGAAGCAGCCTGTACACTAAAGAATACTTTACTAAATTTGAGCATGGTGCCAAAGCACCAGGAGGTACAAATAAGAATATGGTCAGGTGCCAAATGAAACCTCCTCTTGCATGTGACTAAAACTCAGTAAACAAATCCAGAATAAGGACTTAGTCCTCAGTGTACCTGCTGTGGAGGTGTGATGCTCTCCTGCTCATAGAACTCTGTGCTCTGCTTGGGTTTGATGTGCAGACTGAGGCCTTTCTCGAAGGCTTGCTGCTCCAGCATCAGGGTGGAGCGCAGCCACAGGTTGTGCGTCTTGCCCAGGTACTTGAGCACACAGGGCCTGATGGGAATGGGCGGCACACACTGTGACATGGCCTCCACGAAGCAGTTGAGAGCACTGGGCTGGCAGTCCCTCTGAGACTGATGACTGCCGCTGCACAAGAATGGACCCATCTCTCCCGACAGAGCCTGCAACGAGGACATGGTCACACGGTCAGTTTCAGTATTCATAGAGTGTGATTTAAAAAAGGTAAAAAGGAAGAGGTTAATCAGCCAGGGGAGTGAAATGGCTTTAAGCATAATTCTCATGGCAACATATTATACACACAGAGATATATATATATATATATATATATATATTCTGCAAATATGTTCCAATGAATATTTAACAGGCAACAAAAATTATATGTAGAAAGTAAATGATTTAAAAGAATATCAAAAGCATCATATTCAGATTTTGTAACATGCCCTAATTCCGTCCTCCTTACCATCAAGCCAAAACAAAGCTATTAACTAGCCTCCATTTCTATTTTTGAGATGCAGTTTAAAATTCATAGCTTTCATCATTGCAAATCAAAGCTATTTAATTAAAATCATAATGCTTAAGACATCTGGCCCATTAAACTCCTTGATATTTGCATAAACGCATGAATTTCTTTCTCATTACCATGGTCTGCATGTGAGAGCGCTGCGGAAAAGGGCAAGGAGTCAAAACGCCTGCCTCCCTGGAGCCTGCTGATCGGAGCAGTGTGAGGGCCGACACACGCGACCTCTGACACCATTAAGGACACTGAGCTCAGTACAGGTAATGATGTGATATGCATCATTATCACAAAAGCAGATTCTCTGGTCAGTTTTAAGTGTTTTGGTTTTAGCAGTAGGATGGGCAAGCCACTTTAAGACTTCTGACTAATGGTGGGTTTTAGCACATTTGACCTAGTGTGCTATACCATGTGATGTGACCAAGAACCACCTAATTTGACTGGAAGGAACCATTTGACTGGCATGCAAAATGAACAACCAAAGACCACTGTTTCTCCACACCCTGTGGGGGCAACCAAACAGTGCCATACCAAAAACAGACCCACATGAAGCAAAGACACACAGATATACAAATATTTGCTACTAACTGCTTCAAATTAAAACGCTTTAATAACTCAAAGGGTGTACATCCTGGAAAACAATTGTCTTTTTTACTGTATGTACAGTGTTAATTTATCAAAACATAGCATTCACTCTCCTGTCATATGGTCCATATATTGAAACTAAGTTTCAAGTTGTCGCTGTCCAAACAAAACCTTACGTCCTTAAAGGAAACAAGGTAAAAACTGGGATATGAGGTTTTGTTCAGACAGCAACAAAATACAGTAGGTTTTAATTATGCCATTTAGCAATGTCACCAAAACATTTACATTTATCATTCCATTTAATGTTGCAGAAAATTATATATATATATATATATATATATATATATATATATATATATATATATATATATAATAAAAATGAATGATGACTGTTTTTGTTACATAAAATATAATTATGTAAAGTGGAACTCAGGGGGGGAAAAGTACAACGCAAGTAAAACGCAGAATAACGGCCCTTTCAAGACCATGCTGTGAATTTCACGAATGCTATTTAATATAGCCACTTTATCTGAAGGCTCACTGCTGTCATGTCACACAGAACAGGCAAGTGCTTGCTACTGGTGACTAGCTAGAGTCTAGCTGGATAAACCAGTTTGTTTCCCACCATAAAAAACACAACACGGAACTGCATACACATAACGTTGTGGGTAGCCGATAACAAGATTCAATTTTAGCATGCAATATAGGTCAGAACGTAGAGCTATGGTACAGTTCGTGGTGATTGGACTCACATGTTGTTGACGATCAGACAGAATCTTCCAGAGGCGAGGGAAGAGCTGCACCCACGTCTTCTCGGCCAGCGGAGTGGAAATGTGACACAGCTGCACCAGAGCATTCAGCAGTGCTCCTGTCTGAGAAACACACAGATTACATTCATCTTCATTACACACGTTCAAATTTGCACCCATGGAACGAAAATATTGCATTTGGGTAATGGGATAACAATCAAAAAGACAGCCATCAGAACCTTTAGTCACTCCCCACTGAGAACTACAACCGATTGTACAGTACAACTAAATATAATTAATATCAAATTTTTTAGTATTTAGTGTGTCCACGTTTTGCCTGTAAAACAGCTTTCATTCTTTTCAGGAGACTTGCTTTCAGGTATTTAAAGACAACTGCAGAGACATCTTCAAAAACCTCCGTTTTTTTAAATCAGCTGCATGTTCAGCCCCTCATGATGGAAGTAATCCCAAAAACATTCAATGATGTTGAGGTCTGCTCTCTAGGGTGACCAGTCCATAGTTCTGAAAACACCAGCAGCTTATTTGCTTAATTTGCAAATCAAACAAATCTTTTCAGAGTGCAAGGATAGACAGAGACACCCATGAATTGTTTTTATCCCCACACTTATTGTCCTTTGCTCTTCCTTATTCAAGTGGATTATCTTACATCTAATTCTCCTCTGAAAAAACCTGAAAAATTATTAACTTGGGCTTAACGTCTGTTTTGACTGGAAATTACAGTGACCAAAAAAAAACTGGCCTCTGACTTTTACACAGCACTACACTCATATTTAGTGGGAAGAAGTATAGCAGGGAGAGTGGGATACATGGGATCTTTTTTTGCAATAAAGACTCTCTGCCTCTCTCATTTAAAATAATAATGACAATATTATTATTATTATTGTTATTATTATTATTATTAATAGTAATAATAATAATAGTAATAATAATAATAGTAATAATAATCATAATAATAATCATCATCATCATCATCATCATCATCATAGTGACTGGACAGACGTCCATTTTCATAATGCAATTGCAGTACGAGTATTGCAGAATGCACTATTGTGATCGTGATGGCCCACCAGGCCCAAAGTTTTGTTACACACCTCTATAACCTAAGATTGACTTGTGAATGCCGGTCTGCATGTAAGTCCCTGTAGTTACTGAATAATATGCCTTAGTATATAATAAGCCTGGGATTTTAAGGAGCTAAGGAGCAATATATTGTGCTGCTCTACAAAAAATAAAAACCCTGACTAAAAGTCACCTGTCTCAGCAGCATAGGCAAAAACTGCAGCTTTCTATTCATGGAGTCACCCGCTGCAAAGTGAGGAACAAAAGTGCGGATGTTCTGATCTAAATCTGAAGGGCTATTATGGGGCTCTGAGTGCTAGCATAAGCGAGAGCTAAAGGTGTACCAAGTCTCTGACAGCTGCTCCTCTGAGCATTCCTGCCAGGTCAGGCCTCTGAACTCTTCCACTTCATCATTTATCTAAAGCCTGCTTAAGTGAGGGCATGTAAAACAGAGCCGTGGCCTGGATTAAACAGGAATCGATGGCAGCGCGACCTCCGGGTGAGAGGGAGAGAGGGTCTGCTGCTGTTCTGATCAAACGCTCATTAGCACAGACACTTACAGGGGTATGGGTGAGCACAGGAGACAGAAAGCACTCCAGCCTGAACAAATGGCACTCATTATATCCAAACACCTTCAAATCTATACGACAGCATTTATCCAGAAGCATACAGAATGATTTACTCTTAACATGATGTAAATGTTTCCTATCCAATGGCATTGCTGGCCATTCCCTTTCCATAGTCTTATTTTCACATACATAAAGCACTATGTATGTACTATGTACTAGTATGCAGGTGTATGCCAGTAAAACACTTGATACAGTCCTGTGAAAATACACCCTGTGAAAAGTTTAGACTTTTTTTAGCATATCTGGACAGAAATGTACTTAATTCAAACAATATTGATAGGCAAATGTGATATAATTTAACAAGTGAAACCTAAAATGAGCAGTTTTGTCATCCTTTATATAACTGAAATAAACAGAAATGCAATTTCCTTATGTGGAAAAAGTACAACCCTACATATATCACTACATCAATTGTGTCAAATTGAATTCAGGTGTACCCGATCAAGTAGCACACTATATTTTCGCATGTTTTTTTTTCCTTCCTTACTGCTTTTAATTTTAACAAATCAAAAAATATACACAGTGCTGCTTTAATATGTTGACTAGAAGAATACAGTAGAGCTTGAAATATCTGTCCGAATCCAACGAGATACGACTGCTCAAGACATAATTTCTCAACTATGTATAAATATGTGTAAATATTCTGCTTCCTCAAGGAGAAGTTTGGAAATGGGCAGACTAATATTGATAGAAATAAAATAATAATGTATTGTTCATTTGCGTTTTTGTATTTATTCTATTTTTTTAAACAAACACTTACTGCCAGATAAATGATCGATACATGATTTTCTCAGATCTCTAAGAGTTTTGCACAATACTGTGTACTGTTGTAAGAAACCTAAAATATTTGAAATAGCTGCTCCAAATTTTATGAATTTTAATGTATGTTAATGTACATTATGTAATGTTAAAGATTTTATTTTATAAAGTAATTTTGGACCATTTCCGTTGTTCATTCTTCATCAAATGTTTTCTCTTATGAGTAACTGCCTGTTATTTTCCACAAATGGAGAAGTGTGCCATTGTGCACTCCAGCCGAAGTCACACGTCCTCAAGTAGCATATGTTGAGGTGGCTGCTTACCTTGACCTCTCTGAGGGAGTCCAGGAACTTGTCATGGCGGTTGGTGAGCATGTGCAGCTGGTTGCCAGCATCTCGCTCTGCCTGCTCCTTGGTCTTAGGCAGGCTGGTCTGGTCTCCGGGGGCCAGCTCAATGTCTATCTCCACATCCTACAAACGGCAAAAACAGGGAGAAAAAAAAGGGAGAGAAAGGCACCATTTAAACAGTTAATCTGTGCACATATCAAATACATAATATTTTCTCAACTTTTCTATCATCTGCTTTCAAAGAGAAATGTATTAATTTGAATGCTAATTAAAGTTGCTGTGGAGCTTTGTGGTTGAATCAAGTAAGCTACAGTCTAGGGGTGTAAACCTGACCTCATAACAGCTCCATTTCTTTAAGAAATGATTCAGTGTAACTTTCACTACAATTGAATTTGATTATTTTAGCACAATTCACAAAAATATTATAAAACCATCAGTAATTCATTAACCACATGAACTTGAGTTCTTCAGTGAGTAGAACCAGAGCTTTGTGTGCTACCATGTTTCTATTACTGTCTAAAACAAGCACAAGGCTTCTATTCTTGTTGGATACAAGCAATTTTTTTTGAGCGAGCAGGTAAATAGAACAGAATTTGAATTGAGAGTAATCAGAGTAAAGATAAAGCATGAATAATGTGTGACATTTCTGTTTTTTTCATGTGTTTTCTTGTTCAAAACTAGTGTGTGACATAACCTGAGTAAAATCTCAAAATTTTGGACTTCTTTAGATTGCGATCCTTATGTAACACAAATAAACACAACACCATCCACAACTGCGTTATTAATGGAAAAGAGTAGATAGTCATTTTTTGTGTCTGCCTTAAAGTGTTAACTAGAGAAACTACTTGTCCAATAGTAGAAAAAAAAACAAAAACAAGCTCCGTTTTCCTCTTTAAAAATAGTGAGAACTTTATTTAAAAAATGAAGTGCATATTTTATTGAATATTTACTGACTTCAATAATATTGACTTCAATGATTAATAATAATATTCTATCACTGAGTCAATCAAAATCATATTTTTTACACCTCTTAAATCAGTCATGTTGTAAATTTGGAAGAGGAAAGCAACCACCTCCTTCACTAAAATGACAGGTGGTGATCATCAAATCAAAG